TTTTTTTTTTTTTTTTTTTTTTTTTTTTTTTTTTTTTTTTTTTTTTTTTTTTTTTTTTTAAGAAACAGAACTAAAAAAAAAACAGAGTGAAATATTCAAAAGAGATTGAAGCATCCAAGGAAAATGAAGGTTACAAAAGTACCATTCCAATAAGCACAAAAAGACACTATTAAAAAGAAAGGACTTCTGTCTTTGGCTAAAGGAGTCATATGGTTTCTCTCGATCTATGTGCACTGATGAGATTAAGGCAAAAAAAAAAAATGTCTTTTCTTGAAAGGAGAGAGTAAATATTTGCTGAATTTTTTGAGTTCAAAGAAAAGCACCAGCCGAAGGGAGAGAAAAGCATGTTCCAAAACGAGGTTGCCTTGTTACTGTGATTGATGTATGTGATTTTGAGATTCAGCTACACTTGGAGAAAGAGTTATGAATTGAAGGGTTCCTAGGATCTTTTCTGAAGCGGATGATTTGTTCTTAAAATAAGCTCCCCAGATGAAAATTTTAACTTTTCTAGGATATTTATCCTCCCAAATTAAAAAACAAAGATTTTGATCCAGAACCCTTTTGTGAGAGTAAAGATCCTGAATGAGGGAACTACAACTAAAAGAACTCGAAGCCTCAAGGACGACCCTCGTTCCTTGAAATTAAACAGGAAAATAAAAAGAAAAACATTTCTTACCAGCATCTGGAAGTCCTTCTTTTCGAACTACAAAAGTCCTTTTCTTCTCATGATCCAGAATTGCAATCTTAGATGGAGAGCTAAGAAATATCTTGTCCACCTATTCAACCCAAACACAAAAGAGAATGTCTTGAGTACAATGTAATGACTAAAAGAACGAGAAGAAATAGAATACCTGAACTCACTTCTGATTCAAAAGTTAAAGCATCCCCCTGTTCAGTAAAACGCGCTCTACTCTGCAAGTTGTCAAAATAGTCCAAGGTCTCCAAACCTTCCACCCGAACTTCACTGGCCATAGGCAACTATCTCTTTTTAGATACAAGATAAACAAGCCATGAATTACCTTAACAATTTTTCAAATTTTGTGCCAATAAGCGAAAATGAACTGCAAAAATAGATGGTTTACCGTAAAGAAACAGAGGAAAAAAACTTTCTTTCCGTATAAGGTTTGTAAGATGGTCAGAATTCAATTTATTTGAAAATGTTATTTCTCCTAATTAGCTAATTCTTTACATGGAAACCTCCACTGGAATGTATTAACAGAAGAGGAAGATACACACAAATCAGAAACCATAATTAATCGCAATAAACCAATGTCAATCAGGCACTCAGCTCCAAAAGAAAACACCACAACCATCTAGACAAAGGAGTTCCCAAAACCAAAGACGACCTTACAAATTTCTTCCAAAGAGACAGGAGCCTTCAATTCTTTCCTAACTTATCAGAAATAGGGATCCAGATGAAGCCCTCCAAAAAGGCTCCAAGGAAAACGAGGGCTGAGAAAATAGACAATACCATTCTTCACCGCACTGTTCCTCTAATGAATTTCACCATTCTCACCAACTAAAGAATCAATGAGATTCTTATTCCTCCTCCCCTTTGCTAATTTATTATGGAAAAAAGACATATAGCAGACCCCCTCTTTTGCCCACTTCACCTTAGATTTAACTCTCATAAAGCCTTCTTCCTATCAAGATCTTCAAATTTTCCCTTCAATAGAATTTTCTCCTCTCGCAGGATAATCGATGTTAATTTATCTTTAAAAAATTAAGTGGTACACAACTAACACATTACTCACAGTACAAATTTAACTTTTTTTCCTTTGGATAAGTAACTAAACTTTCATTGAGAAAAAATAAGAACACACAGAAAGGTTTCACCATACAAGCCCATAGAGAAAACTAGAATCTAAAAGATCACTAAACCTTGCACTGAGATCTCTTCAAGCAAAGGAGAGGACAAGGGATGAGATAGAACGGCACCTACCGACTGACTCCTCATCAAGGATAAATGGAATAAATGAGGAAACAAAGAGCAGAGGGTTCTATCTTTCAACCACTTACCCTCCCAAAAAAAGTGTCCCATCCCCAACTGACTGTCAAGGAAAAGGAATGAAGACTAGAAGCTCCTCAATGATGCGTTCCAAAGGATTTTGTAAATGCTTCTAACCCAATAGAGATCCATTCAGACGGATATGGCCCAAAATTTGATCACAATAACCTTATGCAATAAGGTACTGCACTCGAGATAAAAATGCAAAAACTATTTAGCTAAAAGGGGCTTGCTCAACCGTTTCAATTTGAAAATGCTGGAAAATCAGGACCTCATATTAGTAGTCACGTTTAAATTACAGAAAATGTACTCATTACTTCCTTGATATTACACCAATACTCAGTGGTAAATCTAATTCTGTCAGCTTATTTCAATTTGTTTGATAAAGAAGGAAAGAGATAGCACAGCTGTAGTGAAGGATTTTTTTTTAATTGTAGCTTTGAGAACAAATACCTCAGAGATGTTTTTCCTCACTACGGTGCAAATGGAAACTGAAAAGCACTAGAGAAGCAACCAAAGGAAGATTCCTAAAAAGTACTGACGAAACAATCTTCAATATATTGAGTCAACATCTTTCTCAGCTACACACAATCAAGTTTATTGCTAAGGTACGTGTCCAATTTCACAACGTCATGTTATTCTCTTTTTCCTTTTCCTTTTTTTTTTTTTTTTTCCCTCTCTCTTCTTGTAAGAAGTGGAGGAAGATGAAACCTCCAAACTAGCCAACATAGCTACAAAAACCCTCCAATTGACTAGTATATGAAAAGATGAATAACTACGCAAAGACTTTGAAAGCGTAAACCATCTACTCATCCAAAACATAGCTTTGTAAAAAGACTTGTTCCTAGCAAAGGAATCCTCAAAATGGTTTCCAATTTCTCTCTAACCAAATATTTCTCACACACCGAAAAACCAAGAGTTCCCAAGAATACCAGAGAAATGTTTTCCATGTGCATGGAAAACAAAATGACGATCCATCAACATGTCCCTGCTTCAATTTCAAAAGCAATCGAACTATAGTACAACAAAGATTGCATAATTGTGATGATAAAACCCACACTGATGGCTGGGGAAGAGAATTAAGCTTCAACTTGCTTGAAAAATGAGGTGAAAGTAAACAATTTCAAAATTGATGGTAGAAACCAGTTCTAAGCTCTATCTAGTATGTCTTATACCATAACTCTACCTCCTTTTGACTGTTTTAGATAAGAGCTGAGAACCTCATCAACAATTTGTAAATATTTGAAAAACACAGACAAGTATTAGGTGAAGTTGCTAGTACCTTATGTCTGATACTGAGAAGTAAGTGTGATAAGCAAATGTGAACGAGAAAGGCTTTCCATCTGCATTGGTATTCCTAACACGTGATGTCAACGATAGCTCTCCAGAAGGTCCTAGAGATACCCTCAGACGGTACTCATAACTACAATTTAGTAAAAGAACGATATTATTGACTGAATGGAAATTTTGTAGTGATAGGAATGACAACGCTGCATGAACCCTATAAGGAATTTTCAGAATAATTCGCAAGTAAACATGTAACATTTTACCTATGAGGCCAAACCCTTGCATCCTCTTCAGAGGGCTTTAGGATTAGATCAACAAAAGTCTTACTGGAGGTATTCGTTTGAAGAGGAGGTGGATTATTATCAATGCTCCAAAGTCTTATTCTAGCAAATCCATGTGCCTCAAGAGGACCAAGATTTGAAAACTGCACGAATGCATAATTATTATGAAACAGAATAAGATCAAACATAAGATCCATTCCATGCATTAACTTGCAAAGAAGCACATACTTGAGGAAAACATATCGGAATCCCTCCACGAATCGGTTTTAGAGGCTTGAAAATGGCCTGCACAGCAACAAAAAATTTATTAATCATTCTGATAAAGTAACCTGAAATTACAAGAAACTCAAAGTTCAAGGATAAATTAATGACAGCAACAACCTTACACTCTTGCGGTTACCAAGGATAAAAATATCATTGTCAAAGAAACAATCACGTTTCAGTTAACAGAAAATCTCAAATTCATTCTTAACAGGATTTATGAATTTAGAAGACTAAATTGTACATCATAAGAAATAAGAGTACAAATACATGGAAATGGTATCAAGTATATAAGATTTAACAAGAAAATAATAGCGTAGGCCAATGTTAATTATGATCTTAAGAATGTTAGAATGGAAAAAGTATATCAATAAGTGAACATTCTCTGAATCCTTCTAAATTTTTTTTATAAGAAGCATAACAATGTCAAGGACAACCCAAACGAGTCAGAAACTAATGGTTGGGGTAGAGATGACCACCACCAAGTAACACCTCCGATCAAGGTTAATCAAAATTACATAGTGATTACAAACGTTTAGTCGTTTTGGAAATATTGCATTACACCATAAACAGGGGCAGGGGAAAATGGGGATTGAACTCCTCACCAGGAGGGAGGAAACATTGCCACCAAACCAACGAGTTACCCAAGAAAGCTCAATTAAAAATAATTTATTATGAAGGGCACTCAATCCTAAAAATCCTCCAAAGAGTTGGGACTCTACACTCAAATATCCCTTCTCCCAAGCCTAAAAATGACCTCCACAAGCAAGGCAGAGAGACATCATTTATTGTGTCATTATCAGTCAAAGAGCAACAAAACCCAAACAAAAAGCAAACTGATCTTCCCAACCAGACCAAAAAATCAGACATCACATGATTTTTAAAGAAGACAAATGATAGAGACAAGGAAATGCAAAGCAAAGGGATCTATCTCCCGCCTACTGATCTTCTCAACAATACGTTTCCTACTCCTGACCGTCACACAATGAACCAAGTGAGAGAAAGAAGGGAGCTCAAAATAGATATCATCCACAAATTATGGTAATTGCCTTTAACCCTACCCAATAGCCACTCAAAAGGATGAAGACCAAACTTGCTTTCAATAACCCTGTGACAGAGAGAGTTGGGTTCAAGGGTGAAATGCCAAAGCCATTTGGCTAATAAACCAGCCTCTCAATACCTCCCACCAAACCAATTTCAACAAGTTTCCTCATTCCATCCCTTAGAAATAATAAACAGGATACCACTCAATACAAAGCAAATCAAAGTTAGTCTACCAGCTTTAGAAACTTTTCTTTCAAGAGGCTAATCTTTTCCTAACTTTGCCCACCACCAGATTCTAAAAGGAGATGGATTTGGGATTACTTCCAAAAGGGAGACCCATCATTTTTGCCCCAACTCTTGAGCTTCTCCGCATCACAATGAGTACAATAATCTGACATTTACTCGTGTTAATCCTAGGCCCAAAAAAATCTTATAAAAACACCAAGATTCATGATTAAGAATGCAACCTCATTTCTAGAACCAAAAAAAAAAAAAAAAAAAGAAGTATGGTCGGGAAATTGAAGATAAGACCAACTCAAGAACTGTTTCTTACTTTCAACTATTCTAACCACATGATTAAGAACGCAACCTCATTTCTAGAACCAAAAAAAAAAAAAGAAGTATCGTCGGGAAATTGAAGACGAGACCAACTCAAGAACTGTTTCTTACTTTCAACTATTCTAACCACATGATTAAGAACGCAACCTCATTTCTAGAACCAAAAAAAAAAAGAAGTATCGTCGGGAAATTGAAGACGAGACCAACTCAAGAACTGTTTCTTACTTTCAACTATTCTAACCACATGATTAAGAACGCAACCTCATTTCTAGAACCAAAAAAAAAAAGAAGTATCGTCGGGAAATTGAAGACGAGACCAACTCAAGAACTGTTTCTTACTTTCAACTATTCTAACCACATGATTAAGAATGCAACCTCATTTCTAGAACCAAAAAAAAAAAAGAAGTATCGTCGGGAAATTGAAGACGAGACCAACTCAAGAACTGTTTCTTACTTTCAACTATTCTAACCACATGATTAAGAACGCAACCTCATTTCTAGAACCAAAAAAAAAAAAAAAAAAAGAAGTATGGTCGGGAAATTGAAGATAAGACCAACTCAAGAACTGTTTCATTATTTCTACTTCTAACCAAGGTTAGAATAGTCGAAAGTAGGATAGTGTATCAAAGAAATTAGAATGATTCAATTGGTTAAAAATATGTAAAAAGAAAATTCAATAGCACCTTGTTACTAACAAAAAGCATCTCTTCCCCATGATCATTCTTCCAAGATGTCACGTGGGCCCCATATAAATATACCTGGAGAGAACAAACATTAATCAGTTGCCACATAAAGAAACAAAACCTGTCCGCTCAAATCTGAACAACACTACAGAAAAATGAAATCCAGGAGTTGAGTAGAATGATAAGCATGAACTCATCAATAAATAACATAGGTTTTAGAATCAAGAGAAGATAATAGTCCTGTCACAGGGTTGTTTTCCCTACAGCCACCGTCCCCCTTCTGAAGGTAGAAATTTTGTCCAGCTACAGTTCCTTCAAAGAATTCATTACAGTAACTAAAATCTTTGATGCACGTGAGAAATAAGAGATCAGAAATGTCATGCACACATACACAGCCCGAAAATGGCCGAGGCCAAGATCCTAACGACGTGCACGAATATAAATACAAGAACAGATCAACCAAATTTTAACCCGAGAGAACATACAATTCAATCCAGGAATCCAATAGAATCAAAGCAACAAAGAAACGCAAGCCACAGAAATTAAGATCCCAACTCCACTCCCCCGATTAAAATCGAAAGAAGGCGAACACCTTAGTTCAAAATCAGATCAATTCCGCATCTCAAAAAAGCTCACAAAAACAAATTCACAAATAAATCAATCAAAACATTCAGATAACAAAGCCTAGAAAATTCCAACAATGATCTCATTTCTCAATTACTCAAATCCCCCACAATACCTCAGCAGAACTACCACGCGGATCGCGAAGGACGACTTTATCAAGGCCATTGATGCCCTTAACGACGTCCACGGAACCCGAAGAAGCTCCAGAAGATGCCACAACCTTTTCGCCACTCATTTAGAAGCCCTTTATGTTTTCGTTGTTGGAAATCTTCGCCGTCGGTGGTGTAGTGTTCGTCCTTGTTCCTGATTCAGATCGGGAATCTTAGCGCTGTTAATCCATAGCCGTGTACTCGAATTTTGGTTTATATTGTTGTTGCCATTTTGATCAGAAACTGGAAAGCAGAACAGTCGCCATCAAGTCACTGAAAATCTCGGAATCTCGTGAAACTCCTTTCTCTGGATTTCCTTTTGTCTTTTGTCTTCACATTAAACTCCGTAAATTTTTTAAAAATTAATAATACTAATATTAAATACGATTAAGGTTTTAATTCTACTTTTGTTAATATATATATATAACCAAAATAAATAAAACGTTACTTTTCCCTTTGCAAAATTTTAACATAAATGTTTATATTTATAGATATTACATATAACTCAATACTAATATTGATATGTATTTATTATATAGATATAAATATAATTCAATGATAATTACGAAAATTTAGTTTAAAATTACACGCGAGTACAATTATCTTATTTTGTCCGTTATTTTATTTTTAATTATTATTTAAAATTTATTTATTTCTTCTTACCTGATATGTTACAGACATGTTACAGGTTATAAGTAATTGCATTTTTCAATTTTGTCCTCGACTTCAACTCTAACCTTGACCCCGACTCTACCTACCCCCACCCCATTCCACTACATATTTATATATAAATATACCTATATCAATATTTATATGTACGATATAAATATATAATAACTTATTATATATATATATATATATATATATATATGCACTTAGTTACTATATAAATGAATAGAATAGTTTTTAAAATAAATATTTAAAAATTCTATCTGATTCCTATAAAAATAAAAAATAAAAAAATTAGCTAAAATAAAAAATGAAATAGGAGACGAGACGAACATGGAAAAGACTTCTCTATCCCTGGATTACATGCAAACAATGGAGCACATCCTTATAGGTGATTTATGCTAATTTTTGCTTAATTAAAAGCGTGAGAAGGGGAAAATGAAATTGAACTAGATGAAGTTAGGATCTTCCATTTATAGCAGACGACGAAATTAGGTTCCAGAAGTTTCCATTTTCTTTGGCAATACAAAAAAGAAAACGCGAGGAATCTGTCTTCAATTCAAACTCCTTCCAGATCTCATCTTTTTTGATCAACAACGATTTAGCTGCTTAATTTGATCTCACGCCACCGGTAATTCAAATTCATTCTGGAGATTTCTTCTGACCTTAATTCTTCCTTTATTCCGTAGGCTCAAGATCATCATTTTGCTCGAATTTAACTTCATAATCCAAGGAGTTCGAACGATTTCTTGAATTCGATGCAGGAGCAACGTCTTCCCTACGGCTTTAGCGCCTTCAGATAAGTTTAATTTCCATGGCGCCTAGTGGAATGTTCTATGTTTTTTAGTTTAGAATTTCATTGAAGGTCTGGTTTTAAATCTTGAATTGGCTTGGGGAAACTGAATGAATTGGGGGGTAGTTACAAATCTGAATCTGCTTTTAAGCTGGGATTACGTGTTCTTCATATGAGTGAATATGAATTTATTACCATTTTAAGAAAATACATCGTCTTATCTCTGGAGTAAAATTAGGTTATATTGTTGTTTGAGCAATAAAATTAAGAAAGCTTTGTTGTAGATTCAATCCTTACTCAAAATGGCACCTACAGGTCACAAGCTTGAATGCTTCACAATGTCTGAAGGTATTTGACACTCTATTCACGCACTTTAGATCTGTTTGATAACTCGTTCTTTACAACAGTAGTTGAAAGATGACAACCTTGGAATATCAAACATCCCGAACAGAAATGTCAAAATCGAAAGAGCGAGTGCAGGAAAACGTAGAGGGAAAGATATAATGAAAATCACACTTTTTATAAGTTTATTGTCATCTGAAGTATTACACTCTGCTGTACACACGGTTGTTCTTTCTCGGGAACTGCAAATAAAAGGAAAACTAAATTGCAGACCACCTAACTGCTCCCCTGAAAAAAATTGCAAGCTCACAACATAGGTTTAACATTAAAATGAATACCAAATGCTTAGTAAAGAAATAAATAAGGTAAAGATGTTTGCAAGGACGCAAGCAAAAACCAGAACTTGAATTTGTCCATCAATCATGAACACAAGTCTCTGGGCAACAGAAGCAGCTAAAAATGCACTGAAGCTGGCCCTTCCACTCCTTACCAGTTGAGTCCAGCCAGTTCAGAAGGCTCCTTACATCTAACAACAAATAGATTTGAAAACCAAGCCTCTTCCACTGGTAACATAGAATTGCAGGAAACTGAGTGAAATGATCAGAGAAAACCATACAGGAGTTAGAATAGTTGAAGGGCCATTTTATGCTTATTCTGTTTCCATTTTGGCAACTTATAAAATGCCTCTTTGGTCATTCCAAACTTTGCCCTGAACTCTTCTGATGAGAGGTAAGTCTGCAGAGTTGCAAATTTAAGCATCTTAGAAAATATCATATTAAGAATCTATAGACTCAAGTTGAAGCGTTACTTTTTTAATATTACCTCTCGTCTTGTCACATCAATGTCTGAAATGGGATCGGTAGATGTAGTTTTTAGACGGTCATATGGATATATTGCGAGGCCTTCATCATCTTCAGCCTCACCTTCTTTCACATCTTCCTGTATTGTGAGAGTTTCAATTCCGACCGTCTTTGAGTTTTGCTTCTCCTTATCATTAACCTCACCATTATTATTAGTCTCCAGCTTGGGTTTGGGAGGCTCTGGAGGAGTCAGTTCACCCAATACAAGGTAATTATGTCAGGTACGACCATGAAATAGCTGCCATGGATTTATAAATTGAAGGCTACCTTTTATTGAATGTGGTATAATAGCTTCTCGAGCAGGTGGTGGCTGTTCAAAGCTAGCACCAAGAGCTGCTATGGTAGATTTTGCGGCAGCTAATTTTGCTGAATCTGGGCTCACTGATTTCGGGTAGATCTTTCTAACTGGGGGTGGAGTAGAAAGGTTCCTTGTATTGGGGTTCTCAAAAGTAGCAGCCAATGCATTGAAAGCAGGAGACCTCCCCCTTACACGGACCCTTTCAGGACTAAAAGACATGCTCCTAGAGCGTTGTGATTTGTCTGGGACTGCAGACCTCCCACCATATGATACCGGTGTTCTTCGCTTTGGTTTCTGAGTAATAATGAAGTCACTTATTAATGGGGGCATCAATAAAGACCAGGAAACTAGGAAAAGAATGTGAAGAGCAGAAGAGGGTGGTTGATGATAATGTGAAGAAATAAAAGGAACATAATCCAGATTAAGAAAATCAATGGACTGTGTTTGTGGGTGGGGGTTAAGAATTGAAACTATATAAAGAAGCCTTACATCTTGAGCAGGAGTGCCTCCGCTTTTGACTATTGTAAGTTTTCTTTGGAACGAGTTTCCGTGCATCTGTTTAAGATCGAAAATCTTAATTGCTTGCAGATAATTTATAGGCATACATACTAGAATAAATGTCGAATGCTTACCAAAGATTTTGCAGAGTCCCATTTAAAGAAGCGAGTAAAGAAAGGGGGTTCACTTCCTTCCGTGATAATGTACACCGGAGCTTCAGAAGATAGATTTTCCAGAAGAAAATCATGTTTTAGAAATTTCTGTTGCAATAAGAAAGAAAATTACCAATAATGAGAATCATAGTTTGTCGAGAAGACAATGATGAATGAACCTGGAAAACTTTTAGTATCAGACTCCCAAGATATGAAAATAACATAGAACCGATGACATTGATATATCAAGAACTTAGATATAACATTGGTGGGGAAAAGAAAGGGGCAGATTGAATGTCGAAAAATTTCTTCCCAGTTGAATAGCCAGATGATATAACGGAACATTGGCGAAAAGTAACACATGAAGTTGGCTAGGAAATACGTTATTCGTACCTCACCAATAGTTAAAGCATGCAATCTACTCTTGGAGTCGACTTGTTGGCCAATCCATACATATGTCTCTGAGTGATTATCCAGAATGTGTATGTCCTCGGTCATCAAATCATCTTGATCAAAGTTATATACCTCCACCACCTGCGAAACTTCACATTATACCTTCTCGGGAAAGACGGTCATTTACAGTCGCTTCTTAATGTTTTTGTTTCTTTTGTTTCTTCTCTTTTTTTTTGTTCTTTCTAAGGAAACTAAGCTTGTATTGAGAAGAAATGAAAGAACGTGATAGTATAAATTATAGGAAATTTATGGATCAGAACGAGAAAAGAATGTACCTTCAAATTTCCTGCAAGTTCATCATGGCCATCACAAGTTCACAGGAAAAGGAGGAAGATTTAGAAGTGTAGCGGAATGGAAGAGTACAGGACAAGGCATAAATTTTTCACTAGCAGGAAGAATTATACTAACCTCCAGAGAAGGTACAAGAAAATAGGTGTGGATCACTTTCAGCCTCTCGACTGACTTTTTGGCTAGGATATTCAGATTTGCCTCCCAGCAAATTCCAAAATTGTTCAGATTCTGTACCTTCTTTTTGTGGTCTAGACTGTACATTGGGCTGCTGGCAATTGAAACACAAGTGAGAAATCAATAAAAAGAAATGTAACAAGATAAACAAAATTCTGACCTATCTTGTTAAACAAAACTCAAACTCAGATAAGTATGACTTCTTTGCCAAAGTGAAAAGCGTATGGATGTGAAATGATAGATTGCAACAAATTTATGCAATCAGGTTTATTTCATACAGAACACATTTGTCAAGAAGCTCTGTTTAGAAATCAAACTCTTGTGTCCAAGCTGAGAGAACTACACAACCTTTATCAAATCCAGCAATCGCTCGACAAGTTCTTGATTATCTGAGTTTGTGAGGCTTCCAGACCATGTAAAGACAGAGGAGCTGCTATTCAATATGTAGCAGTAGGAGGAATTTAAAGATGATGCAACCTGCCGAGGGAGAAAAAAGATGGGGAAAGGTAAGAATATATACATAAAGATTTAAATACATCATAATCTATCAATTTAACTTTCAAGTTTAGTAGTGATCAAAATGATGTCGATGAAGTCTTTGAGTTACGCTAGTTATATGCTATGTTTAGTAGTGACTTATTATGATAACAATTTCAGGAGCTCTTGTGAAATTCTCTCTCTAATTGATACCAATAGTTCACACGTACCTTTTCTCATATGGAGGAGAGTGATAAGACTGTAGAAAAGATTAAATAAACTTTAATCTTTCTACTATACCTTTTGCAATCATGTTAACTAAAGACATCTTTGTCATATGTGTGCATGATTAAAGAACTAACGAAATGCTATAGTACAAGTACCGGGTCTACTTGTATTGCTTGCATATTTTCGGGTCCAGAGCCCTGGACTCTAAATAATGCAATCCCATCCTCTTGGTAAGTTTCATCTTGAATTTCCTTCTCCGCAACATAATTCTTGTATCCCTTACTTAGGCCTCCCTGAAGTGTGTATTTCATCACATTATCTTTTAGGAAATCAAAATTCATGTATGGAATAAGAAGAAAAAAATATTCTCCTACAACTTTCTTTAACTGCAGATTATATCTAACAAACCTTGAAGACAACAAAGCTCTGGAAAATTGAATAAAATTGAATCGGTTCATTCCCTTCGTAAAGGCGAGCCTATAATACAATGAAATGAATCAGAAACAAGAAGATATCAAAGAAATGAATGTACATCAATTGGAAATCACAACCCCAAGTGATGAACCTACCTGGACTGGGAGAAACTTTAATGACTCAACCATCTTGTTTACCAGTGATAATGCTGTAGCTCTTTCTTCCTGGAGGAGATAAGCAAAAACGAATCCCAACAATAATAAGGCCTCAGATTAGAATGTGTTCATGTAGCACAAAAATTATATGTGTGTACATGACAAAAGAGTATGAGGGGGGAAACATTAGATACACAAAAAAACTAAAACTCTTATTCCCATCAGAGTGTCCATTATGTGAAGAAGTCCTAATTTTGAGCCTCCTATTCTAATTTCAATACTCTTAGCCAAAATTTCTCTCGTAAAGAAAGAGCATACAAGGACAATTGAATTCTAAGATGCAAGATCTGTTAATGAGTAATAGATCATGTTCGAAGTCCTATAACCAAACTAGCAAATGATAAACCATGTCCCAAATTCTTGGTCAAGGTAAACTATAAACCTAACAGAAAGAAGCATAAAGGAATATTTAAATTGATGTTCTGGATTTAACCCAACACAACAAATTACAGTTAAAGCATTACTTCCTAATTCATAGTTTCCAAAAAATATTTTAACATATCAATAATTTACGACTTTAACTTCTCCCATAACCATCAACCATCATGTTAAAGTGAGGTATTGAATGCATAAATGAACGATAAGTAACTTTAAATTTCGGTGTGATTTTTTTTTCTTCAGGTTGAGGGCATCTAGAAGCTTTTTGAGCATTTATTACCTCAACACTTCGCTTCCCAAACCATGTTCCTATAAGATATTCATCTTTATCGTCTCCAGGATACGAGTATTGAAAGATATAGCAATCCCCACTGTAAAATTTTGACTGATCAGAGGTAGGAATGAGAATCTTTTCGTTGCCACTGACTCGCCAAACCTGTGTCATGGAGGAACAGGAATCGTTAACCACGAAGAAAAGCAGTCGTTGAGAACCATGTCTTGTTCTATATAGAAGAGCAAACAATGGGGAAAAAGAAGTTCCAGAAAACCTAAGATATAATTGACTAGTCCTGGGTAGACTAGCAATTTCCAGTCAAATAGTTGACAGACTCATTTTCATAAAACAATTGCAAGAGCTTCAGAAGCCACACCTGCAAATTCCCAGTGCAATCAATGTATGGTTGAGGTTCTTCTTTTATAGGATCAGCTTTTAGAAGACCCTTAACATTAATCCCTTGACGCTTCAGAAGAGCTAAAAGAAACGCCAAAAATCAACACATAAGGAATGAAGTCAGTGTAGCAATATAGATAAAATTGTAACAATGGAAAAATATCTTTAAATTTTTTACTTCCTAACCTGCGACCTTTCCTCTGCCATCCTCTGACACAACTACATTAGTAACTTGAGGCCACGAATCAAATTTAGATCGGAATGTTGCTGTCTCGAAACCTTCAATCACACTAGTTATTTGTGATCTTGGTCTTTCAGGTCCATGCACTAGTTTCTGTTCACTTAACACAAATTAATAAGAAATTCTATGATGTCATGTTACCCAAGTAAAATGGATTTGCAGGTATAGGGTGAGCTGACCTCGGCAGCTGCAGTCGCCTTCTTTCGGTCATCGAGCGAGGTATTTCTTCCCATCCATGCAAATACATCAAATCCAGAATCTAGAATATAGCATTTTTGTGTTTCTAGCAGGTCCCTTGTCAAAGAATCAGCATCAAGTGGTTCCAGCTCCCCCTTCTCAATTCTTTAAAAGCAGACATATTGCTTCAGAACTACATAATAACGGTTACCAATTTACCATCTCATATGAAAGTCCAATGTATTTAGTTTAAGGATTTGTTAATGTCATTGGTTATTACTCTATTAGCTGAAGATAATTCTAGCTATGAATAGGGTACTCAATAATCTTCTATTCAAAACCCTTGAAACCTTTTAAAGAGAGTGGAGAAGTATATGTGCGTGCGTGTTTATAAAGACGTTCAATTACATAATATCTCATTTTTTTACGTTGCAGGGTCGTCTCCTTTTCTAGCTGAAGCAAACATTCTCACAAATATCACATGAGAAGAACCTGAAAAGGAGATAATATATTACCGAAAAAGCTTAGTTGGATGAGAATCAACATGCTTATCCTCATCACTAGTTGTTTTCCTTGGAAGCGGAGCAAAGCCACCAAAAAAGCCCCAAAATTCTCCAGTTTCAGGATCGGCCATCAACTTTCCATCCTCTACAAAAAGTTAAACTCACAAACTGATATTCCTCAACGTTCATCTTTCACTTCCAACTCACAGATCAATCGTAACTTACCAATGGCAGCCATCTCACATTTTCCATTGTGATATGTATCCTTAACATATTGAACAACTTCCAATGCTTTTGCTCTCTCTTGAATAGATGAGTTCGAACCGTTGAATTGGAAAATTTTGGACTTGGTATCGAGAATAAAAATGTCATCGTGGTTGAGTGAAGATCGACTGAAAGGAACCTATCATCACAATTCCAGAAAACTCAGCAAGCATTCATAAAAAGCTAGAGATATCAATGATACCCAACCAAAAACAAGAACTTGCCTCCTTGACATGGACGACACGTTTTCCTTTACACACAAACAACCGAGTCTTATGTTCCTCAGCCTCAGCATGTTTGAACCCGGATGCAAATCCACCTTCTTGAGGTATAATACATGGTTTGAAACAGGACAGGAACTTCTCTGTCTCGTGACCTTGAACCTCACGATATTGTACAGCACGTCCACCTAGTGCTGCGTCTAGTTCAATTGTCTTGATAGCAGCAGTACCAGCTTCATCCTGTGCATAAATAAGTCACTGAATCAAAACTCCGTGGAAAAAATTGATGTTGAAGAGTACTTTAATGGTATTACTTGTTTGGTAGAGGTATTTTACCTGAGTGGTATCTCTACCAAGCCAGTAATGAATATCATGTCGCAAGGTGCCACTTTTTAGGGAGGTTGTCTGCACAAAAAAGGTTTAAGACATGAATACAGTCATTCAGGGCATAGAATCTTCATGCCAAAGAAGAACACTACAAACACAATGACTGAAATCGTTTCCTTTTTTTTTTAGTTTGATTGATGATATGTTTCAACACATGAACTTTGAATTTGTGTAGCCAACAATTTGTTTTATAAATTTGAGATTTAGTATGAGGTATAGTTTAATACTTATAGAACTGACAAATTGAATGCTTTGGACACGAAGCCCCATACATCTCGGTATCTAACCCTATGCCACACAAATCCAACCTATCAACTAAAAACTCTCTAAAATCAATTTGAGCATAACTTAATTGATTAAGACATGCGCGAGCTCGAATAAAAAGTAAGACCCCATTGGTTGAACTCAATCAAAAGATAAACCCTAAAGCATCTAACTAAACCATATAATAAATAACTCACTCGAAAGTTTGTATTAAATGTTGAATTTCATTTTGTCATTACTTTTCAACTCCTCTGTTTGTATTAAATGTTGAATTTCATTTTGTTTTCATAGTCATTACTTTTCAACTCCTCTAATAAATGGTTTATAAATTACAACCAGACACTTTATACGTGCAACAATCCAAGCCCACCGCTAGTAGATAATGCCCCCACCGCTAGTAGATAATGTCCGCTTTGACTCATTACGTATCGCCGTCAGTCTTACAGTTTTAAAACGCATCTACTAGGGAGAGGTTTTCATACCCTTTAAGGAATGATTTGTTCCCCTCTCCAACCAATGTAAGATCTCACAATCCATCCCTTTGGGAGCCAGCGTCTTCATTGGCACACCGCTCAGTGTCTGGCTCTTAAACTATTTGTAACATCCCAAGTCCACCACTATTGTTCGTTTGACACGTTACGTATCGCCGTCAGCTTCACGATTTTAAAACGCGTCTACTAGAGAGAGGTTTCTACACCCATATAAATAATACTATGTTCCCCTCTCCAACCGACGTCAGATCTCACAATAAGTGTTCCCCATTTCATGCACAACCCAAATTCATCTATCGTTTCATGTCTAATCATTCTGAAACAAAAGATAGCCACTTGTGGCATTTGATACTTGTACACTAATAAGACAAATTAAAGAAGAAATTCCACAAGTTGAGCATATAACCTTATCAGTGTCACAAATAATTCCAAGACTTAGATACATATAGTGCTTCTTAGGGGAGAAAATATGCATATATGTATGTATATGTTGCAATTTAGGGAATGAAAATGAATCCTTTACCTTGAGAATGATATAGGAGTCACCAGTAAAGAACTTTCCATAAGAAGCCTTTGGAACAGGAACAGGATTAAAATTTTCAATCCGCCATATTTCAAGCCCACTTTTAAGTGTCAAGGAACAAAATATGAGCTCATTAGTTTCATGGGAATAAGGTTGATTGAATGTTTTGTACAGAAAATGGATATCAAACCAGAAAATTTCAAAATCTTATGCATAAAGGATACGCCTTTTGACCTGCCCCTTGGAAGGCTGGGTCCAAATCTCTCATGGAGACAGCCATATTGTTCTTGCACCTCTAGTTCTATATTGTTTCCCACTACTCGGCAGAAATACAGCGATTCCAACCTGAAGAACAAAACAAGTAACTACGAAATGAAGAAGATTGATCTCGAGACTGTTTGGAATGATGTTCTAGTGTGTAAGAAAGCGTTTTTAGGCACTTAGAAAGTCATTCCGAACAGATCCTTTATGCAGAAAATAAGAACAAATCAACATACAACGTAGATGCGTTTATTTGCCTCAAGCATTTGAGGGGCTCATTCAAGACTTACTCAAACTATTACTCAACAGAAAATAAGAGCTTTGGCTTCAGCTTATCGGGATAGAGGTAGGTAAAAAAGAAATTTTCGACAATTGTGGATCGCTCGAATAAATGCAGTAACTCGCTAGTTACTATAATAAGGTAGACTACAGTTATAGTAGATTCATACACAATCTGGCCACTTAATCGTAAAATACTTGCCCAAATTGCTATATTAAATAGCAATTGTCTTTACTAGTCAGCTTTACCGAGTTCAAGAAGTCCAGAACGGAAGATTCGAATGTATTACATATCTTGACTTTAGCTTGAAAACAAATATAACAGGTAGAGAAGCTCACCTCACGAATAGTCCTACGGACACAGTGTTGCAGTATGAGGGTTTTCGTTACTGGAACGGGTGGCAAAATCAGCTACAGGAGAACTGTACGAGAAAGGCAGATTAAAATCGAAGACAAGCACAACACTCGAGTTATGGGAAGAATCATCTATAACTCCACTTAGTGAATTAGAACATCAAACAAACAGAAAAACAATCCCATGAATGTATGTATATCAGTAAACAGCTTAAACCCTCCCTTAATAGAGAAATTAAGAACTAACTACAAGAATACAAACTTCTACGAATGAATCGAATCAAATCTAGTTTTTCAACAAAATTCAGCTAAACCAGGAGGCCATAGAACATGTTCATAATCACCAATCCCAGAAGACCAATTACTCGATTATATCAAAAACGATTCAAACCAAAACAAAGAACAGGAATCAGCAGCTTCACAAATTTCCATAACAACGCCCCAAACAAGAATCCCTAATAAAAACGAAGAACAACCCTGTTTCAGAAACTAGCTAAGCAACCGCAATTCAAAACCAAAGAAGAAAAAGATTAAACGGCAGAAAGTTGCGAGTACTCACGGCCGATGAAGACAATCAGGTATTGAAAATTGAAGCGGAGAAGCACCCAGATCCACCAAGGATCAGAATCATACAAACAATAGTGTTTTCCAATTCCACAGCGCACAAGAGAGAGAGAGAGAGAGAGAGAAAGTAAAGTGTTAGAGGTGAAGAAGAGAGAAAAGGGAGTAGAAATGTAGAGAGAGAAAGAAACCCAAAAAAGTATTTGTATTTTGTAGTGAGAGAGAAGAGAATGATGAAGGGCAAGGCGTGCTAATCACTAAACCCCAACACAAGAACGAACCCACGCAAGCACAAATGAACTGTAATCTTAATAATCAATCAATTAAATTGAATTTCTTCTTCTTTTGTTTTTGGGGTTTCAGTATGTGACAGATAGATTGATTCTTCAAAGAAATTTAATCCAAAAACATTCTTCAAATCAATCATTCAGAAACTTTCGGCCAACAAGAACTTTGTTTCCAAAACCCAAAAATACCTCGCAATAATTCTTGAATTATAAACTCATAATCATTCTCTAAATTAGCATATGAAGAACTTTCATCCAACCGACACAGATACAAATAAGGAAGAAAGAAATAAATAATTGACCGTGCCATTAATATTAAACCAATTAAATTTTCAATATTAATACGAACATATAATTATAAAATTATAGACTGATTTAAGAAAAAAATCAAATTCTTTTTAATAAGTTAATTTGAAACGTTGTTATTTTGTTTATATATTCAATAATTTAAGTATTAAATGAAATGAACCTACTAAATATGCTCATATAAGTACACTATAGACTTGACTAAGGGCCAACGTACATTCACACAGTCAAAAACACTAGAAAAAAAGGAGTGAGTATAATATCGCGGTGTACATGTCCTTGTGTAGCATATTAGGTAAGTATTTCATGCCGGTGACATACAACATACACGAGATCTTGTATTTAAAATAAAAAAACTATATGTCGTGGGATATTCATACTTCATTTAGTTCATCCAATCCAGCTCATACGCGTTCCAACAGTAAGTTCACTTAGAGTGTTGGCTTCACCCAATGTTACTAACTTTCCTTAGTCGATAACAACTTAATCTTGTTCGGTTTTATTCCACATCTAACGTTTCATAATATCGAACTTAGGATATATTGAATAAATTAATTTAACCTAATTTTTCAAAACTAATCCAAAATAACTCTAAAAATATAAAACCCAAAATATCTCAGTTTTAGACTTTTTATTTTATTTTCTCACTATTACAATATAATTCTCCTTTAATAATTAAATTTAAAAAATATTAAAATAATCATTAGATACGTTGAATTTGAACAATTTTTCTTTTCTATCTCTAAGTTAAAAAATTATTACATCGTGACAATTTTTTTTTTTTTAGAATTTTCACCCAAATGGATTTAAGGTAAAAAAAAGAGCAATAAATTCAATAATATTTTTGAAGCAATGTTCAACCAATTTAATTTATAAAAAAAATTAAAATTTAATATTACAAATATAATTTTCAACAATTATAATTATAATAAAGCGAGACAAGCATAAGATGAGACAGAGATGAAGATAGGAATATAATTTCTATAAATATTTTTAATTAACGTGTCCCATAATATTAAAATAATAAAATTAATGATGAAAATATATATTAAAATTTAAAATTTAAATTAACCATGTTTAAAAAAATTTATCTAATAAATTTTTGAAAATTTAATTTTATATTTAATAAATATAACAAATTTATTAAAAAAATATAATAAAAAGTATTTTAAAATTTTAACATTTTAGATACGAGATTTCAACATAATAAAAAAAAAAAAAAAAAAATTAAGAGTTCAATCAAATCAATGATAAATTGTGAGGGCAAATCCGTCATTTGTCGAAGCCAAACCCTCGTTTTCCTCTCTCGCTAGGGTTTCGTCTCTCAACATAAAATCTCAACACAATCCACTGAAGAGCCGTCCACTCCAACGCTCTCTTTTTTCTTCTTCGCAATTCGCTTCAAGCAGAATCCCAGTTCGAAGATCAAACAATGGGAGTTTTCACCTTCATCTGTCGGAGCTCCGGTGGCAAGTGGACTGCCAATCAGTATTCGGGTGACCTTGAAGGCTCTGCCGATTCCACCTACGATCTCCAGAGGACGCTCGTTCAGAATGTCCTCTCCGTCGATTGCTCCGGTGGTGTTCAGTCCTCTTTCTCTTATGTCACTCCCACCTCCGCCGTTTTCCAGGTATTCATTGTTTTCTCCTCTATTCCAGTTTGTCTTGTGGATTCTTCGAATACTTCTGATTTTATTATTCATTGTTCTCGATCTAATGTTCAAAAAATGCTCCCCTTCTAAATGTAATCAATGTTTATTTGATTGTTTAATCTGGTTTCTAATGTTTTGGTCAATATGAATAGTTATCTTTTACCTTTCCTGTGCGATGAGGGACGATCCTTTCTTTAGTTTTTCCATCTTTAGCGTATGTTTGAACTTTTTGTCTATTTGATCTATAGGTTGGCGTTTAACAATTGCGATTATGGGTTTATGGGTACATGATCGATTAAGCAACTATTGATTGAGGGAATTTTCCAAATATATGGTTTTATAATGATGAACTAAAGCAATGTTGGTAATTATATTTTTAGTATGTTCATTGGTGAGTTCCTTGATTAGTATAACTTATCTGCATTCTCTCATTGAATTTTACATTTTCTGGATAAACATGGATTTATAAAAATACATATTTGTGTAATTCCTTGTTAGAGGTTGTCTGAATTTGCAGATGTATTTGGAAGAAGTTGGTTTGAAAGTATTTATGATTTATGATCTCTTCAATATCTCAAGTAGCTTCCTCCCTGCTTGCCTGTTGTTACCCGTTGTGCATGCCTTGCTTAAACATTAGTATTTCAGGTGATCATTGGCGGCAGTAGTGGTGGCGGTTTCATTGGTGGTGGAGGAGCTGCAGCCGCCCCTGCTGGAGGAGATGCACCAGCTGCTGCAGAAGCCCCAGCTGAGAAGAAGGAAGAGGTGAAGGAGGAGAGTGATGACGACGACCTTGGCTTTTCACTTTTTGATTAATTGGTATAATTACTCGTTATTGTTTATCAAACCCAGAATCTTTAGCACTCAACTTTTCTATTCAGCAAATTATGGCTATGCATTTAGTTGAATTTGCAAGTTCAATTGTTAAGGACGTAAAATTTTGTTACTGACCTTTGTCAAATGGTTGGGGTATTCTTTTGGGCATTGTTTTTCAAAAGGAAAACCAATTTGGTGTGGTTTGTTTTATCACATCTATTACTTGACTTGAATGGTGCCTTTTCAAGTATAGGTTGAGGTTTTAAAATTGTTTTAGGGTTTAGAGTTCATGCTATGATAAGATATATTACCTTGTTTATAGATTAATATCCAAACTTGAGTAATATTAGGTACTCTCATAAACCATAAGCAAATTATCTACTTTTCTATCTATGTCCATTTAGAATTCTATTGACATAGCTCGTGACTTTTGAAAACAAAGATATAACAACATACCTCTACAATTATATGATATTGTTTATTTTGAGTATAAACTCTCTTTGTTTTGACAAAAAATCTCATACTAATGGAGATAGTGTCTCTTATATATCAATTATCTTCTTAATTAGCCATTTCAACCGTAGTTAACGTAACTCATTATATATTCATTTTAATTTGGGATCGTCTAATTTCTAGATCTTTAGAGCTTGAGGTTGATAGCATTTTGATTGAACTCAACTTTGGGTCCATTTTTCTGGTATTGTAACGTGACAATGCTATCAAACCCAATTCAACGAAAAGCATAATTCTAAATAGTTGATCACCTTCATTTGAACAGATCTATACAACTAACTCGATTTTTATTGATATCAGCTATATCAGCTTTGACAAACATCAAACTAACTCGCCCTAAAAAAATAAGAGAGGGAGTAGCAAAAATTACATGAAGCTAAGTTAGATTTAAACTATGAAGCCAATTTCTAACCATTGTAACCCAAAAAAGAAGAATACTAAGCTACAAATAAAGCATTTGTAATTACATTCCGATCCCACTTGATGAGCCTATTGTGCCATTTGGCTGCTGTCTCCTTTTGGCATTTTCTTAAGAAGATCACTATATCCATCAGCAGAACTGATACCAAACTCAGTCAGTGAGCTCATAGCAAATGACAGCCCAGCACACAGCACCCTTATGGCTACTTCCGCCATTTTTTCTCCACTCATTACCTCATCAACCTTCCCAAACTCTACCATCTCCATGTTCCCGCCTGATTCTTCGAATCTCTTCGACCTGACTCGATCGCGGTGAGGGTCGTCTCTTTGCTGTTGTTGTGCGTAGAGCGACCCCATTCCAGCAGCAAAGAAGTCGAGCCCGTCTAGCACTGCCTTCTCTTGAACATCATCCAAGAACCTCTTCCATTGGATGCAAAGTCCAAATATTGGAAGTGCAGATGCATTCGATCTACAAGGTGAAAATGGAGGCTTCGTAGTGTCGGAGGAATCCGAATTTACACACCGGAGGAGCCATCCAGTTATTGCGTGCACATAGGATCGCTGGGAAGTGATCCATGACTCGAAACAGCTTCGCCAGTTCCTGAGCTCTATCTCGAGATTGGCTGATGCACGCGCTAACCAAGTTGGCTCAATGACCGGAGCTGAAGAGAGCTTTCTACTGTCCGACTTCAACGGTATACCGGCGAGTAGAAGCTTTGCTTCATCTAAAGCTCGCTTCTGTAATTGATGGCATTTTGCCATTACTTTCCACATCCTTGCTAACCTGTGTAATCATACGAAGTATGGTTGTTGATTATCTCAATGTAACTATAGAGATGTCCAACAATGGAGACTTACCCTTGAACCAATTCTAGAAGTTGAGGCTGCAACTCTTCATCTCTTAAAGTTTCGATTCTTTTCGCCACAGCTTCGACCGAGTGAATCGAAACCTTTATCTGAGTATGGAGACCTCTCATGGCAGATCTTGTTTTTTCTACTGAAGACGGATCATCGCCTTTTACATCTTGGTTCCTGAGTTGATTACATTTCTTCTCGTACGCGATTCGAATCTTTTCTCCGGACTGTAAATAAGAAGGAAACTATAAAGATCAGAAACATCCACAGGATTCATTGAAAGTAGAAATTAGAAGTCAGGAGAGGATTTGGGCTACACACCCTCACTTCCTGGTAGAGCTTTTTCTCCCAAGCATATAATCGATCCAATGTCGATTGATGACCGTGTGAAAATGAGCTGGATTCTTCCGGTACGTTGCCATTGCTCTCGTAAGCACTTTCGTCCTTAGTTGCTGAAGAGCTGATTAGAAATCTTGATGAGGAAGAACGAGATGAAGTCGAGCGGAATAGAGCTACTGGGTTCAACATTTTCATGGCTGCAAGGAGAAATAAGACTTCATGAATTGGATTATGGTCAAATGACTTGAATGCAAAAGAAGTACTAAAAGTAAGGGAATTAGATCGAAGTGTTTATGTATCCAACCTGTAGGTTCATTTGAAGTGGCCATATATGGAGCTTTTCTAGCCTCTAAAAGTGCTGAGACCTCATTTGCTGAATTGCAAACTGCTATAAACTGAGCTTCCAATTCTTTGATTACCTCTGCCATGCTCGTCGGTTTTCGGTTCACATAAACAGTAAAACCCGGTGTTTCTTCCTTGGATTTGGGATCGGCTACCCCTGATTCTTGGCTTGTACTTGCAATAGGTCCAGCATTCTGGAGCCTTGATACATCAATCTTCCCTTCCGGTTCAAGATCCATCTCACTTCCTTTGTTTGTTTCCTCCTCGTCCTCCTCCTCGTCCTTGTCCTCCTCCTCGTCCTCATCCTCATCTTCTTCGTCCTCATCCACGTCCTCAACAATAACTTCCTCTCTACAACAACTTTGGCTCCCTCGTGTTCTTTCTTCAGTGACGTTTACTCTATTGCTATTGTCTTCCTGCTCGGTTTCATCTTCTTCCAGTTCAGGAATCCCTTCTTCTTCTCTAACTTGTCTTAGTCCTCGTATCTCATCGTCGATTGCCATATGATTGAGACCAATGTTCGAGGGGTAGCCATAGTTATCCAAAGACGAAAACGGGTTCCAGAAAAAGTCCCATTGCGAATGTTCGGGTGATGGGGGAGGGATATTTGGTCTGTTGTTAGGAGAATAAGAGAAGAATGAGGAATTCATTGGTGAGGATTGCATTGGGAAGAAGCCATCAAATCCATACTGATTCATTGGTGAATAAGATTGAACTCTCACAGTTTCAGGTGATTGAGGTCTCTCTTCTACAGAAACTGCCCCATTCCCTCCTGATCTAAGGTAATTTACTCTCACCACTCTATTCGGTTTAGATTCGATAAGAAGCGTCGAGAACGAATTCGGCGTTATGGATATGAAACCAGGACTTGTTTTCTTTACAGATGTGTAAGGGGGTGTAATGAATGAATCTAACAACTGCTCACGAGGCTCGTATCCATCGACATACTCACGAAGAGCGGCAGATACTCGTTTCAATGACTGAATGTAGGCTAGATGTCCACAAGCAAATAGTCTCCTCTGCTCAACAGCTTGTTTGATAAAACTCTTCCGATCTTTACAAAGTTTTACTGCCTCTTCATCTTCCAGCTTTGACATGGAACATCCCATATCTCAATTTCTACCCTTTCTTCGAACTTTCGGACACTACGAATTCGTCAAGCTCGAATCGAAACCAAAATCACAAGGATATTGCTGTGTGTTTCTTGCCAGATTCATAAGGTTTCTCTGGGCTGTTCAGGCAAAAGCAATGCCAAATTCACACACAGAACAAGAACCAGGAAGAACAACAGGGAATCAAGATCCTATTTCAAATCAAAACCAACAGAAATGGAGGATTCTACAACATATTTGAGTATACAGAGAGGAGGGTTTAGAGGATTAATGCTTTTCTTGATTTAGAAGTTAAAGAACACAAAAAAAGAACAAAAGATTCTATTGAGGAGTTGTCAAAGATTTCAGCTGAAACAACAGGAACCTCTAATCCTTAACTTGCCAGTTCCAAATTCAAAAGGAAACTGATGAGATATATTATATTACGAACCAAAAAACAAAAGGATAGCAATATAAAATTACAAAATAATGAAAAGAAAGTCAAAAACAGGCGGAATGAAGAATGATGACTGTCATATTTCGAGCTTAGCAAAACACAAGAAAAGAAGATAAAGGGCTCAAAGTAAAGGACCCATTTGCAGACTTCACATGGAGAAACCGATCAAATATCAAATTACAAATAAACCCCTCTCTGTTTCTCTCTCTCTCTCTCTCTACAAAGTGGTCTGAGGCATTCATTGAGAAGGAGAAGAGAGCGAGAGAGTGAACAAAAATTTATAGTTTCACAAGAAATATAGAAACCACATTCTTATTTCCTCAAGAAAACAATAGCAACCCAGAAGAGGAAATGTAGAGAAAAAAGCACATAATCCTTCCAAAATTGTGATCCCCACAGAAAACATAGCAATCCAGAATAGAAAAAAACACTTAATCCCTGAAAATTTACAGTTCAACACCACATATTTCAGCAATGTTATAGCAACCTAGAAGTAAATGTTGAGATAAAATCACGTGATCCCTGCAAGATTACAATTCATCAAGCAATACAGAAGAAATATCGTTATCCCCACGGAAAACTATGACAACCCAGAAGAACAAATGATAAAAAAAGCACAAAATCCCTAATAATTCATAGTTCAAGAACAAATACTGAAGCAATGTTATAATTTCAACAGAAAACAATAGCAACCCACAAGAACAAATGATGAGAAAAGGCACAAAATCCCTAAGAATTCATAGTTCAACAACAAATATTTCATCGACTTAATATATTCACAGAATACCATGGAAACCCAGAAGAAAAAGTAGAGGAAAAAACACAAAATCATTGAAGTACCTGGTGGGATGAATGAATCACGGCCGGCGGGAAGGAACAGAGAATAGTGTAAGAATGCTTGATCACACACTGCCACTGACACAGACGATCATGAAGGTAGAGAGAGAAAGTAGAGCGAGAGAGAAATTGGGGTTTTAGAAGAAAATCAACGGTCAAAAAACCCAGAATGGAGAAGAAGCAAATCACGGAAGAACACAAACAAAACGATTCATTCACGTCGAAGTAGCTCATTAAACAAAACTCAGGTAGAGAGAAATAAAGGAGAGAATATGATCCCTCCAATACTACCCTTCTTTCTCCCTTTTATTTCAATAATGCCATTTCCACGTGGCATTAAAATGGTTATTAAATTTTTA